TATAAAAACTTTGAACTTATCTTTTATTGAATTTTATATATAATATTGCAGCGTACGTCTTTCCTTCCGAAGGATTCGATTATCGATCGAGCCGATTCGCCGAGATGAGATAAAGAAAAAAAAAAAAAAAAAAAAAGAAAGAAAAAAAAAGAAAAGAAAAAAGAACGCAACAGACTAAACAACGTCGAATAGGAAGAAGACCCAATCTCGAGAGAAGCTGTAACGGACAAGCGAAAGTCGAGCCTCAGGCTCACGGGTTCCCCCTTCTTTCCTGCGACCCTGCAACATTAATATCCGAGAAACTCGGATGCAGAATATAGCGAGACGTGACTTGAAGACTCAAGAATATTACGAGTCATCCGGATCGACGAGTCGTTCGAAGATGAATCGCCGAGGTGCCGAGGAAATCATGATTTTTCCTCAACACGACAATTCTAATCTTCGGTTAATCCTCGATTCATTCTATGATGTATCCTTGCTGAATAGAGATACATAGACGCTTTCAACTTTGATTCTATTCCCATTAATTTTTTAAAATATCAATGGATAGTTCAATTACGATTTTAGACATCTGTTAGCGGAGGTCTCTTGATTGAGCTAATGTTATCAGTACTATTTGACATTATACATCATTAATTTCCAAGTGGTTTTCATCACTGAATTGTTTCATAACGACAAACTATATCTTCATCCAATAACCTTCGTAAAATAATAATAAAAATATATAAAAATCAAAGTAGTTGCTATTCACGAATCTGTCGTGTCGAGTGTTTTCTCTAGATAGAGCTTGATTTCTCGTCGTATTCTGTATTCACAAACGCATGAAGAACACGAACGTATCGTGGTACGAACTTTTTCGGTGACCTAATATTGTAATATCACCTTGAATATTTCACCACTTAATCCGGCAAGTAGGTCAACGTTCTTTTTACTCTTTTTCTCCATCCTCTCTCTCTCTCTTTCTCTCTCGGTCGTGAAAAAAAAAGAAAAAAAAAAGACAACGCGACATCTTCTCTCTTTGAAAAGCGTTTTAACAATATCGACGGTTCGTACATACACGGTATAATTACGGCGAGTGCGATCCGTGTAATTTTACGATGAAAAGCAAGATTTGCGCACTCCACCTCCGCAGCATTGGCTTTCTCTCGTTGGATTCGTTTAAATACACCGGGATAAATTACCGAGCGACAAACGCTGCTATCGCGGACCATACGTTACGAGGAGCTGTCTTTAATGATTTTGAAGATTAAGTGTCCACCGTTTAAATGCCTTTGTTCTGTACACCGATGCAAATGCATGCGTTTAAAAAGATCAAGTTACCAAGATATATATATATATATTTCCCACGGAATATTCGATTAAATAAAAATTTCAGGTCAAACGCGAGTCGAAGAAAAATCACTTTCACTCGAGGCGAATCGACGTGAGAATGGTACCCGGTACGAAATTACTTATGAGTTTAGAGTGTGACCTTTTTTCCGAAAGAGGCGGCACTGCAACGAGTCTTTGACGTTTCAATGTGTATATCTGCTTAGAAAGCTTTCCTTTAGAGAGCAATTGTAAATTTTAAACCTTGGGTGGAAAATCTCGACGATCGTGGGATCGTGCGATAATCGAGGGAAAATAATCATGTACAATCATAAAGTATTTTTTTTTTTCGAAAATTATTTGAGTCGCTATTACAATTTTTACAAATTGTAAAATTTGTTTTTCCTTTCGATTTTTATCTACCAGAATAGTTATCTGCTGATTAAAAACGAAATTGCACGTATTTCTTAATAAAATCAATAATGGCTTGCATACATAGTTAAACGATAGTTTAATTGATTTAACTCTTTCCAACATTTGCGTATAAGAAATTTTCTACCGTGGTTCCATCTTTTCAATTATATTCTAAAAAGAGAGAAACATATCCGCAGAAAAATTCACAGTTCAATAATTATCCCAAGACTTCCAAACCGAGAGCGTGTGTACACACATTTTGTAACATTGCTCAACTTCACCCAATGAAGTAAGCGCGACTCGCCCCCAGTTACCGAGTAAAAATCGACATGATATACCCTCGAAGCGTTAAACGTCTAATTTCCTGTTTCCTTTATCGATAACCGACTTTCGAAACGAGAATTAAAACCCAGCTTTTCCAACGAAACCCGAATCGATCGTACGCTGTATTATTACTAAATCGGGCGTTATCTTAGGTGAATTTAGCGTGAAAAAGCTTCTGCCACGACGACTGATCGCGATGATCGCGCGAATCAAACCGGAAAGCCAAGGTGAAGGAAAGAGACGAATGATATCGGAAGAATCGAATCAGAATCGTGGCGGCAAGTGGGTCGAGAGTTCACGAGCCGGATAATTAAATTCCACAACGAGGAAAGCGTTTTCCCTCTCGTTTCGCGGTACCATCACCGACGCGAGCTGGCCAACAAGCTGGACAATCGTCTGATATTCCTTCATGCGAGCCTGCAACGTTCGCAGATGGAAGACGCGAGTGTATGCAAATGTAAAGGCTCGTACTCACCAATGAATAGGTTCGCCAACAGCGAGATTGCGGATATGTAAAACGCGAAAATATATGAAATACGAGTCGAGTACGCGGATCTATCCGTGTAGTTCTATCTTCTCCAGAGTGCGGATTTTTTGTGAATTTTTCCAGACAATTTAGAGGGAATTACATGAAATATAAAGACTAGAAACTTTGACAGTCAAAGACTCTCAAAGAGTATGTTTGTGATCGCTAGGCAAACGAACGACGAACAAATGCTTCTGGTTTTGGTTCAATATTTTCCCTCGGTTGCAGAGAAATCCTGCAAGTCAAATATTGATTCCCTCGAGGAACATGGATTTCGAGATTAGACTACAGGATGCAGTCTTGGATCTTCGAAAATCTGCAATAGCCAATGTAGAACGCTTGACAAATTTTCGTTTCTCGTGTTTCTAAAAATATAAAACTTCATTGATGAATTTATGTATCTATTGCTGAAGCGGTTCTGGTCTTTTGGCCACACGGATCTCATTTTGACCGAAGAAAACTTTCGTCCATCAGCACAGGTTATTTCATCGTTATTTGTCCAAAATGTTGATGAACACCAGTGAGAATGCACCTTAAGATGAGGTTAACACTATTAAGAGAAGCTACCGTGAAATACAAGGAAACTTCGCGACGAGAATGATACGACAGTGCGCTTTTCTTCCTGATCTCTCGCTCTGGAGATCAGGGATCAACGATCTAACGGGTGGCTCTAAGACACGCTCGATGACTGCGTTTTTGCGACATGGTCCGCTCGAGCTGAGGCTACGTAATCAGGTTACATAAAACTAACATAAAGAACTCGGTGTAAATTACTCGATCGGGCATCTTCGTCGTTCCGAACGACGATCGATGATCCTGTCAAACGACGGGATCTGATCGTTAATCTCGTTTGCCAAACGCAAACGAAAAAGCCTCTGGAAATCGTTAACATTCAAACAGAGAGAGAGTTGAAGGATAGAAAGATGGATGTAATCAGCGGATTGGATTAAATATGAAAATAACACAACGCCGCTTCCTGCGGTGTTTGTAAAAACGAAACGAGTTCGACGAGAACACGCGGAAATCGATTATGGGATTTCCGTTTGCGGCCCGAGTCGATCGGTCGTATTATTTAATTCTTCGCTTGAGTGAAATTCACTCGGGCAAAAACGAACTTACCAACGTGGCGGATAAAGTCGTTTGAAATGGATTAAATGAAAAGATCAAACGTCGGAGGAATTGTAAGAGAAAGAAATGGAAAATCATCGTTCTCGTCGGTCTACTTGCCATGTTACTGTTGGACGGGGACGGGTTTACGTGCCTCTCTCAAACACGCGAATGGAATATAAACGACCGAAATTTGTACGAGATTATAAACCAACGTACGGAGTCGATCGATATTGGATTAGAAGTTACGCCAGAGCGTTGGCGACGCCAAACACTGTTTTCTTCGCAAACAGTCTTTTCGCAACGGATTTGCACACGAATTTGTAGACGAGATATTCCAACGCTGGTCTTCCAATAAATAAATATCAATAAAAACTCCGATTCAAAAAGAAAAGAAGAAAAATTTCGTCCTTTCGAAACGAACGGAGCGCAAAAATCGTCGAACACCTGCGCGTTGAATTTCATCGAGGTCTTGCTCGTTGCGTCACAAAGGAAGACCAGAAGAGGAAAATCGACCGAATCGCCATGTCTCGAAACTTCGATTAGTGAAATCAGCCGAAGATACTCGACGCCTGGATTGCGTGTACCAAGAGTCTAGGTCTAGGACGCAACTTGGGATACGTTGGCCGTGCAGATACGAGAAAGGGACGGACGAAACGGTTTCGCAACGATCGGCGATCGTCCGAATTCGGTTGTTCCTGAGGGCAGAGGGTCGACGAGCAACGAGGACACGCTAGGTGTGACGTGCACCGGAGAAACAGAGAAACGAACACAATTGAAAGGACAGGGGGGAGAGGCACGGGAGGGAGGGAGGGGAGGAGAGAATCGTCTCACAGCTGAATTACTCTCACTCGCGAGAGGCCCCCGTCTCTTCTTCTTCTTTGTGGGGGCTTCAAATATCCCCCTGCTTCTCGCGGGGTATAAAGGACCCTGGTCCACCTTGCACGGAGTCACAGAACAGAGCGGCATCGCAGAAGCCGACATGAATCCTCTGATCGCGGTAAGCTGAATTC